ATTTCTGCAGCAATGGCGCATTAATCAGCCAGTGGACTGTCTTACATTTCTGCAGCAACGGCGCATTAAGCAGCCAGTTGCACTGTCTTCATTTCTGCAGCAACGGCGCATTGCTCAGCTGTAACTGTCTTACATTTTTGCAGCAACGGCGCATTAAGCAGCCAGTTGTGCTGTAAGACATTTATTGGTCATTGAACTCAATCAAAACACACCTAACGATTTTACATACGTATTTTCGACGCATGCTACTTAGAATTAGTAAGGTTTAAGATATCATATCACCTACCGGATTGCGTATATTCCTGCATCACTGGAACAATTCATGAACCAGTTGTGACGTTGGAATTTCACGATAAATAAGAAATATTGTTGGGCAATTTTTCTTGCACGTCCACCAATAACCTTAAAAAAATGAGTAAAAGATTGTCTGAGTTCAGAAACTGCACAACTCCAAAACATTCGGAAATTATATCTATGTTCACTCTGGCAGAAAAAATGATAGTTTAATGAGAGGTAGTTCAACACTTAGTTACTTACAAATATAAACAATAGCATTTAACAAAATGTGGTTACATAAGTATCATTAATCACTATCATTGCCGGAAAATTCAACCAAGTTATTTAAATTAGTAGGAATTCTACTTTTAGCTCTGCCTTAATTTAAATGAGTAAAATGCTTGAATTTAAAATAAACCTACAGTGTATAGGTATTTGACAGCCATAATTTATAAAATATATGACACAATTATAACAAGCTAGTTGTACACAATTATACTAGAGTGGTGACATCATGAAGAATTAAATATTTGAGAATGTGGGAGTTGGTGACATCATGAAGAATTAAATATTTGAGGAAGGTGTGAGTTGGTGACACTCATGAAGATTAAACATTTGAGTGAAGGCGTGAGCTGGTGACACTGAAGAATTCAAATATCGAGGAAGGTGTGAGCTATACACTCATGAAGAATTAAATATTTGAGGAAGGTGTGAGTTGGTGACATCAATGAAGAATTAAATATTTGAGGAAGGTGGAGTTGGGTGACATCAATGAAGAATTAAATATTTGAGGAAGGTGGACAGGACATCATGAAGAATTAAATATTTGAGGAAGGTGTGAGTTGGTGACATCATGAAGAATTAAATATTTGAGGAAGGAAAAGAGTTATGACATCATGAAGAATTAATATTTGAGGAAGGTGAGTTGGTGACATCATGAAGAATTAAATATTTGAGGAAGGTGAGTTGGTGACATCGTGAAGAATTAAATATTTGAGGAAGGTGTGAGGAAAATCAATTATTTGAATAAGTTTAAGCATATAAATTTGAAAAGTCTTTACTGATAAAATTGTTTTTGAAGACAGATAGTTTTGATGCATTATCATTGATATTATCTCTACCCACATGAAATTTCTAACATATTTTTACGTATGTCAACTGTAGCTAATAATTATTTGTTATATTTTCAGCTCAACACCACATTAATTTTGAAGCTATAATGGTGGTGGAGCATATGATATGAAAGAAATATACAAAAACCTGCAGTCTGGACCCATTCCACATACTAAACCAGCATTTTTCGTGATCATTTCAACCTAAAAGACCATAAATAGTTGCATCTATAGAAAAGCCAAACAAAGAAAGTGTTATACAAGCACCAAATCAAGAATGGGTAAATCCCCAAAAATTTATGTATATATCAATATTTATAATTAATAATAAGAGAATCTCTAATAGTAAAGTAGCCCAATTTTGTTTTGCTATACAAATTCATAGCAAAGGCACTTTTTAATTATGTACACCAAAATCCTTGCATAGCACAAATAAAGAATTGGTTTGGCTTGGCCATTATAATTTGCATTTATTGTTCATTTACTAAAACAATTTATATTTTTATTTATTAGTAATTCATCATTAACAATACTTTAAATATGGCTATAATAATTTAAATTACCATTATTATTCATCAGCAAATTTAAAACCCTCAAAGACAAAGTCCTCTTCTAGATTGAAATAATGCAGCTAACAGCACAAGATGGTAGTGGTACTCTAATTTCCTTGCCCAATACATTCCAACACCATCGAACCAGTTGCCTGTAAAGCCACATGTCTTTGTTTTTTGTGTTCAGGTCCTTCTTCAGCTCTTGAACCATAGTGTTGTTTGTACTCACTCCATGCCAGTCGTAATACATTTAAAAAAGATTTCGACAGGATTATCTAATACAGTCCAGTATATATTCCTCAAATTGTGCTGAGTCTTCATTCATTGTTACAACAGCTGAACTGTCGAGTCGTCCAACTCGTCGCTAGAGTCTGTTTCAATCGGCTCATGCATATGGTTGAATCATGTTTAGATCGTTAATCATTTCTTCGTAGTTTGAAACTGCTTCCAGATTACTGAAATCGTTGCAATCCGTATCCATTGCGCAAAATAATTTAAAAACTTAGAAAATATGAATAGCCATGCGTAATGTTGACAACGATCACGCGGTGACGTAACGACGAAAGAAACCGCTGCTGGACTGCGGCTTCACTCACATGTACACAAGATACAAAATACACACATTTAAAGCATTATTTCTCGAGTTAATTTGAATTGGAAAGGATTTCCGAGAGAGGTAAACAATATACATTTCATATGAGTGAAAGTTGTTTATCTGACTACTACTGTGTTCATTTTCAACAAAGAAACAAGAAGATCATGCCAACCCAGACTGGAAAGTATGTCTTGCGCAACCTAGATCTAGCTTGCGCAATTTCGGAAATGCGCGTCCTGACGCGCAGATTTTAAAAAATTTCTTGTTCGCCGCGCATTTGTGAAATTTGCCGCGCATTGCGAGAAATTATTGCGCAATATCAGCACATGTGCGCTGCAGCGCTGTTGTTTCCGTTGAAAAAAATTGTTGCCTGTTGAATGTCAATCTTACAAGCTGTTTTGACAGGCAAGTTCCGTTAATTGGTTTGTAAGCCAATAAGCGTTTGATGACTAGAAATATGATATCTGAGCAGATTAACTACATTCTTTGCTTTCGTTTTCGAGCTTTCTTTTAAGTGACTTCAAGGCAAACCATATCGATTCTTCGGTGTATTCTACGGTGATACGTGATATTTAATTAAACCAACTTGGGGTGTTCAAATTTGTAAGGTGAGTACACGTAATGGTTTAGTAAAATCAAAAGTACTGATACAAAATTACAAATGATAAAAATTCTGAAAGCATTAACGCTTCTAACACTAAACGCCCGGGAAACAAGTTATTATTTAACAGTTATGTTTTTTGTGTAACCTAAAAGTAGTGGTACGAAAGGATTTCTTGTATTACAAACTACAAAGCATGTTTTAATACATTTAAGGCAAATAAAATTCACAATCCTTACATAAAACATATTGATAAATGAAGCAATTTATAATTAAAACCGGTTTGCTAACGAACTAACAGGGCTTAGCTCGCTATTGTTTGGTGATAAAGCGAGATTTTTTGACAAACTTTTTATCTAATTGTTTATTTATTTTTACTAGATGGCTGAGATTCAAGCAGTTAAATCAGGTAAATTCACGCGTTACAATAGCCGAAAATTTTCCTAACAACAATATACACAATATATATCAGCCATTGGTTGATTGCAGGAGCTGATTCGGTGATTCCTCGACAATATTCACTTCTCACTAAGAGTACCAAACCAACATTTGTGTGTTGCTAAAACTAGTGCTGCTTGCCTTTGATACCAAAAAAACGTTCATTACATTATCTTAACTTATGTTTTCATTGTTGTTGCCTAATTACTAGTTTGCGTTTCATGCAAGAAGGAATGTGGAAGCCATTTTTGCAAAGTTTGCAAAAAAACGTGCCACGCAATTCCGCCTTGCTCAACATCAGCAGGTGATGATGAAGGTTTTGGTGCCCAGGTCTTGTGTAGTGGCTGTGCAAAAACTGAGACAGCAGCAGTGGCTAAAAATAAGCAGCAAACACTGTCTAAGGAAGGTAACAGAACAATTATCTAGTGTTAGAATGTTAGTCGTGTGTAAGAGTGATCGTGTTTGCGTCACAAAGAAAAGTGGCATGACATTGTCAGTGGGTTTTATAAAAACAATAGTAAACAACCAAGATTGGCTATCGACACATTTGTAACCATAAAAATTGTGTGTTATAGAGTTTCAGTTTGCCAACATGTTTAAAAGACATAGCAAGCAGCAGAAAACAGGACCAGAAGCAAAGCGAGCAAAGAGTGGACACGAGAAAACCCCAATGGGCTTTTGCTTACTTTGTTTTAGGCAAGGCAAACGCAAATTTTGGCTTGCTAGAGGGAACAAGTCCTCTCTAGCAAACCATTTAAAAACTCACAGCGACAAGGGCGAAAAGACCTTAGCAAATGACGCTATTAGAGAAGATTCCCCTCTTGCTAAATCTGCGCTACAGGCGTACAAAATGCTTAAATCGGCTAGGTAAATGAAAATCAAGTTCCCAATTCCCAAATTGAGAACTGCACTTACATTGTGTATGTTTTCTATGTTAATTGTATTTTCAGTACAAGCCAAGTGCAACAAAAGTGTGGTGGCGACGGAATGGGAGAACGGATAGAAATTATGGAAGTCGATGAAAGGTAGCTAAATTGCTCATTCCCCTGCGTGAACCATAAAATAACCGAATATCACAAACTGCATACATGTTATATAATACATTTCTTTTACATATACAGTGATAGCTTTTTAAAATTATGAATATTAAATTGTTTCAGAGAGCTTGGTAAGGATACGGCTGGACATGCAACTGACGAACTTTCGTGCAAAATCGTTTCTGGTGTCAGTGAATCTGAAAGTTGGGAGGAAACCGATGAAAAAGATGAGAGGTTTGTTAGTGAAATACGGCATTTTTCTTGCATTATAGTATCAGATTTTACGACATTTTGTCACGATATTTTGTGAAATTTATGCCATAGTGGTTGAAAGTGTTGACTTTTAGTTCAAGGCTTCCAATAATTCACTTGTTCGGATAAGTAATTTCTACATTACAAATTTCTTAAGTCGTTTAATATTAACGATGAAATCATTAAGTATTTCAACGTCTTCTGTTGAATTTCTTAGTACATATACTTTTCACACAGTTTGCAAGAAAATTTTAATGTTGGCTTTTAACACTTTCATTGTTACAGCGAAGAGATTGTGAGAGTTAATGCAGTAAGTAAGACGAGTAAGGCTGCCTCTATTTCAAACACCAGCCGTCTTAGCTATCAAAGCTCGCTTGGAAGTTTTCTTCCTTCAATTTTATCAAGTGAGCAAGGCGACCTGCCATTTGATGTGGACGAACTTGCGGAAAAATTGCTACTAAGGTGGCACAAAAGTTGAGTGGTAACCCTAAATCAGCCCAATCAACAAGTTCAACAACTACATACAATCCCACATCGAGTACCGCACTTCGATCTTCCAATTTGATTGAGCTTGTGGATGAAGTGGAAGATTTTGAAATACTAAAGAAGAGAACAGCTGGGTGCTGCAGTGTCGAACGTGTGTCGAATTTTTAAACTCTTCCCGTGTTTCCTTTTCGTCATCTTTTAATCGACCTACTGGCAAAGCAGACGGATCTTTGGCATCTGGTTTACATATGTCAGATGCCTTGTATGAACAGCTAATTGCAGGCAAGTGTGAAAATGGTACAGCCAAAAGCAAGCGTGTCATCGACATCTTCTTTCTTTGACCCACAAAACGCTGATGACCACATGAAGATGGTAAAGCAAGGGAGGTCAAGGGAAGTACTTGTTGCAAAGAATCAACTCCGTGCAGCTCTTGGTGTTGTGAAAACAAAGTCAGCTGCAGTTCATTATGAAGCACGAATTGCTGAGCTTCAAGCTGCTGGTGCGGATGTTGGTGATTTTTGTCATTCTCGAAAATTGTTTCCAGACATGATCAAAGCAGCATGTGCTTACATCGACATGAGAGCAGCCAATTTTCTTTCTACCCTCTTCCAAACACAGGAATGCCCCACATTTTTATGTTACAGCTGATAAATCTACCAATCATCGCATCACTAATCAGGTTACTATCGTTTGTCCAGTTGTAAATGGTAGTCGCCGAGGCATTGTCCTTGACGCAAGGGAGGTTTACAGTAACTCTGATGCAACTGGTGGTACAGGTGATGCTCTAGCTGCATCCATTTTTAAAGATCTTGACGTGCATGTTGGTATTAAGGATAATCGGCTACTGCAAGTGCAAGGGCGAGTGATGGATGGACAATACGTCAACGAGCCGTTCATTGCAGGCATGAACGAGCCTGTATTTGAACTTTTGCATGATGATCTGTCCTGCAAAGAAAGATTCTGGTGGCCTGTCCAATGGGACCCTGCCCATTGGTTAGATAAAGTATTTAGTCAGCTCAAGGACTCGCCTTTCGTTGATCGTTTGCTGAGAAGGATTGCACTTTATCATCAACTTTTAGTCGTGGTAAAATGCACAGCGTAGCGCGTCATACTGCTAAGGACTTGAATCTTCCGTTTCGAGTAACCAACGCATTTGCACATCAGCGGTTTTTGAGCTCCAGCTATCTATCTTTAAAGAATCTTGCAGATAGTTTGGAAGTGTACATCGAGACTTTCAAGGACCACGACAATAGAGAAGAGATGGGTTACAAGTTATGTGGTCAAGACTTTGTCCATGATTTGCTTGGTGTACTCGATTTGTTGTGGCCCTTGGTCGTCCTGATGCTGCAAGCGCAGGCTGAGTGGTATCCTGGTTGGAAGTTGTGCTCTCATGTTCCTTTGGTAAAACGACAGATGCAACGTTACATCGAGGAAGTATCTAAAATTGATCCTGATGACTTTGTTTGCCCAAGATTAAGCCAGCGAGTTCATGAAATTCGAGATTACCGCTTTGGGCAAAGTGAGTTGGAAACTGGTTGGTTTGTCGTTAGAGAAGGCGACGGTAAAGTGCCAGTGGATTGGGTAGCAAGAGAAATGCAGGACAGTGTTCATGATCTAGAGAAGCTGGCTGCGGATGTCATTAGTCAGATTGATGTTCGCTACACCAATAGCTTTTCCGACCTCAACAGAATGCTATCAAAGTGTTTTGACTTTGGACGACTTTTTCGTGGTTTATGCGGTTTTCGTTCGGAAGAAAAAAGTCCAGTAAACAACAGGGAGTTTTCTGAACTTGGAGCTAATGAGTTTAGACGATGTGTAAACTTTTCCTCACAGATGCCACATGTTTCTGAAAAGAATTTTGAGCTTTGTAGCGAGCTATCATCCACAGTGTTTTGGCGTCTAAAGAAAACACTCATTGCCGTTGTTTGGGGTGATATGCTACACACTCACTTCCTAATTTTTCAAGAAGATCTCTCTCGATGACGAAGGATTTTTTCCTTGCAGGATGTGGTTTTCGAGGAAGGAGTCTTTGTGACTAGGTTCCAAGAAGGTACACCAAGGCAGTTCACCCTTTCTGAGGTCTTCGAAGTGACGCTCAACAATGGTAAAATGATTGACGTTCTTTTAAAGAAGAGGCCGTTATTGAATCTTTATATAACGATTCCTCATTTTATTCAGCTGTCGGCCAAGAGTTTTGTCTCGTCTTTGACATATTTTATGCGAAATGCGGAACTGAGGCTGTTGCCGAATCTTTTTACCGGGTGGTGGATAAGCAAGAAATGGATGGTGGGCAAAGCATAAAAGTGCTAATGAATCGTGCTAAAGTTGATTGGAGTTTACCATCTGTACTTCAATGCGACGCAGCACTGAACGAAATGGCAAAACTTTACATCAATGGGGACAAGGAACGTGGTTTGTCCAGACATATGATTCCTGTTTTAGAGACCGACGAGCATGGCAAAACACGAAGGAGAGATGTCCAAGGTTTTGCAACGCATCATAACATCACGCCCTAAGCTACCTTTCCTCTTGTAACCTTAGTCAAGCGTCAACCAGTATGCTTCGTGCAGTTATAATCAAAAAGTTTTCAATCCAAATCTGGCAGCAGATCGTAATTGTTTATCAATTGAAAAGCTCCCTTGCTTACCATCTGCCTGCTGATTATAAACAATTATTAACTGAAAACCTTTTCTGTCCACAATCTGGCTGCTGATTATAAACAAAGATTAACTGAAAATCTTTTTGTCCACCACCTGGCTGCTGATTATAAACAAAGATTAACTGAAAACCTTTTTGTCCACCACCTGGCTACAGATTATGAACAAAGATTAACTGAAAACCTTTTTGTCCACCACCTGGCTACTGATTATAAACAATAATTAACTGAAAACCTTTTCGTCTAACACCTGGCTGCTGATGATAAACAATTATTAACTGAAAAACCTTTTTTGTCCACCATCTGCCTGCTGATTATAAACAATTAATTGAAAAACCTTTTTTGTCCACCATCTGGCTGCAGATTATAAATATTTATCAACTGAAAACCTCCCTTGCTTACCATCTACCTGCTGATTATAAACAATTATTAACTGAAAAACCTTCAACTCCACAATCTGGCTGCTGATTATAAACAATTATTAACTGAAAACCTTTTTTGTCCACCATCTGCCTGCTGATTATAAACAATTATTAACTGAAAACCTTCTACTCCACAATCTGGCTGCTGATTATAAACAATTATTAACTGAAAACCTTTTTGTCCACCATCTGCCTGCTGATTATAAACAATTATTAACTGAAAACCTTCTACTCTACCATCTGGCTGCTGATTATAAGCAATTAGTAACTGAAAACCTTTTTGTCCACCATCTGCCTGCTGATTATAAACAGTTATTAACTGAAAACCTTCTACTCCACAATCTGGCTGCTGATTATAAACAATTATTAACTGAAAACCTTTTTGTCCACCATCTGCCTGCTGATAATAAACAATTATTAACTGAAAACCTTCTACTCCACAATCTGGCTGCTGATTATAAACAATTATTAACTGAAAACCTTTTTGTCCACCATCTGCCTGCTGATTATAAACAATTATTAACTGAAAACCTTCTACTCCACAATCTGGCTGCTGATTATACAAAAGATGGTTCCTGATTGATTTGTTTTTTTTTGACGACGTATTTGACGACGTCAGTAAATCAAATTTATTTGGTGCCTACTTTTATCGTATCATACGCTGTGATGAAACGATGAAACAGATGAATGATAAACATACGTGGTACGTTGGTCGTTCGACTCGTTACATAATACCTAAGGTAAAGTGGCATTTTTGTGATTACACATGACACATCCTCACGTTGTAAAGGAGAGTTGCAAGCTCCAACTTAAGGTAAGCTACAGCTATACACATGTATCATCTTTATGTTATGTTTCATAATTATTTGCAATTGCAAACTATCAAAATGGAGTGTGATACGGAAAAATAAAACTGGCATCTCGCGAATATTTTATGGCTTCGCAGCGCAAAGTCGAAAATCCGCCGCGCAAAATTGAAAATCCGCCGCGCAAAATTTCTAAAAATTGATCTAGCTTGCGCAGTTTGCATACTTTCCAGTCTGGTCACTACCGACTCACCCTGAATGGTTGATGATAAACAAACTGTGAATCATTGTAAAATCCACAGATAATAAAACCTATAAAATGTATTTCTCCTTTACTAACAAGCTTAATGGTTATAAAACTATTTTCATGTAAGTTCATTTCGTAAATATTTATTTATATTATTGCCAACATTTAACCAACATTTAAAACCGATGTTTCCATTTAAAAAAAATTAAGATTCATGTAATCATCTTACTTGTCCCCCAGACCACTGAAGACTCATGCAACGGCCTTTACCAGCTGGTTTACCTAACTTGTCTTTAATTATGGTCGTGAAGATTTTCGTCTTAATCCCATGATCCTAATTGATAACAAGTCAATGAATTGGAAGAGTCCCAAACAGTTATACAATATAACGACAGATGAAGTACCATGCACTAGGTACAAGGAGAGATGTTCTGTTTTAGTCGATTTTAATTTTGTTTAGAAAAACGTATTTCGAGATAGGAATGGACCGTGACTTCCTTCAGTTTTTTATGAATATGCTACAGAGTCCCCGTATCTCGACAAAATAGTTTGAGAGTTGCGGCAAGATTTCTTTCTGAGCCTAGCGTTGCCAAATGTCTAGGCATCCAAAATGTAAATTCCCAAATTGAGGATTACGCTTTTCTTGAAAAATCTTATCGAGGGCCTTTTTGGAGAGCTAAGTAATTTTTTATTAGCATCTCTATATTGAGATGAGCAGATATTTTTACAAATGAAAGGTCGCAAAGTTTTATCATCATTTAGTTTAGCTTGGATTTTTTGTGCTATTCACTTCTAGATTGCTTCAAGAACTCTTTCGATGGTTTTCAAGTTTATAAAACGTCCAAAGTCGGATGTAACAAGGTTTTCTTCAGCCAGCCAACGAATCTCAAAACATCTTGACCGTTGATCTTCGTAGGCAGTCGCTGGCAGAACAATGTGAAACAATTCAACTAGATCATGGTGATGGTGTAAAGGGCACGATTGAAATGACTTTGCACAAAATCAACGAATCATTTCTGTAAATGAAGGAGCAAATGACAATGTTATTGATATTCATGATTCTAATGCTTCCAAACAGGCAGCTGGTGTTGATGTTTGGACTGGTCAACTTTCTAAAGGTGAAAGGGATTTAGATAGCAGGAAATCATGTAACACAGATCATTTAGATAGAATCTATGATGCAGATATTCATAATGTTAGTAGCTCACATGATGATAAGGACAATCATCTAAAATCAACTCATTGTAATGCGGAATTATCTTCCAGTGATAGCGTAAAAATCGACGATGATGTTTACAAAGATCTAATCATTAAAAAGTTATCAGTTTCTTCAAAAACGTGCTACTTTTTGACAGAAAATGTCTTCAATTTGCTGGAGATTCGTGCTTCACAAAACAACACTAAATGCAGAGGAACAAACATGTCACTTATTAATGCAAAGAAGAAAACAAAGATAACTCTTACTACTCCAAGATCAAAGAAGAACATATTGAACATGATCGTTATTCAAACTTAGATCGACAAAATACTAACTACTCAGAAATGTTAAAAAAAAAGAGTGCACAATGCAACCGTCAAATTCAAGAAACACCATTTATTCAAGGAAAAAAAATATCAAGCGTAAATCAGACGAGGACAGTGTCCACGTGAGAGATATTTGGAAAGCTTTGGTGGACGGTGGCTATGACGTTTCTAGAAAAGAAATCTCAAAATACAAAGTTGAGTTGACAGATTCAAGACAAAAATCTGCACCCTCAAAAGAAACAGTTTTAGAAATCAACAAAAGACAAATCCTGTTCTTCGAAATAAGTCTGCAAATTACAACAAAGGAGAGCATTGAAATTCCTGTGAATAAATCAATGGGTTGCTTTAAATTGAAAAACAAATAATCAGTAAATTTCATAGAATATTCACAAACCTTGTTTTTTATTTAGAAATGAAAAAGTCTCCGATTTCTCTCGATGGAAGTTTGAAGTCAACACGAGCACGAAATTGGGTCTTTTTTTGTACTTTGCATATGGTTTGAATGTGACTCAAAACAGGTATAATGATTTGTAGCTACTGCCATCTGTACTTAATAGAAAATATCTTTTGATTTGACGAATTTGGAGCTTGCATTTAGGCAGTCTATACAACTACGGTGCAAAATAAGATCACGTCTTTGGGGATTGCTATTTGGCTATAGACTTGTTTTAATAAACGAGGTCAGAAATAACAGAAGCAGTGTCTTTAAGAGAGTTTTCAAAATCAGTTTTATTGTCATTAACTCTTAAGTGCATTTGGTAGTGACATGGGCTTTCTAAACGTAGTCCAAGATCCTGAATGTTCCGTAGAAGGTTGCGTTTATGAACTATCGTCAGAATATCTACCGCTTTTGAATATATGTATTGCTTCTCCAAAGGTAAACCAACCACTTTTTTCCCTTGACACTTAATTTGCTAGTCCTCCGTCTTCTTTCAATCAGCCTAACGAAAATTTTTTTGCAATAATAACAGGGAATCAGCATTTATATACGTGCAGGCAATATATCCAATACAAAAGTTGAAAATTCAACCATATACTGTCCAATTTGAACAATCAAATGAGCAAATAAAATGTATAAATCTATATCAATAATTATGCTTCTCTAGCATTACAAGAGATTGGTTCTACCTGTTTGGATGTGTAAAAATCCTGCTCGATTTGAGCATGGTATATGTCAACAATGTGTTGCTGCAGTTGTTTATGTTGCTCAAGAAAAATATATCTCGCCAGGTGAGTGAAGCTTTCGTTTCCTCTTACATACCAAAAGCTATTTTCTTTTCATGATTTCATTCCCAACTTGCAATATGATTTTGCATGCAAAACTCATTGAAAATTCAAACAATGCCACACAAACTCGGGTTTTATGAAAGCCAATAAAACCAAGCACAAATAAACTTATCATAGGAAGACATGATGGAAGGCGTTTTTACCGAAATTCAATTTCTTTTCCTAGATTTTGTGCAACTAGATACTTCATTTACCTTGAAGTAGTACTTTATAAGAACTGATTTACTTACTCCGAACTAAGTTGAATATTTAAAAAAGTTTCAGTATAAATCACGCTTTCGCCCTTTGAGAATACTTTTTTAAGTAACCAACATGAGCGCAAGTCAACACGTAATGCTGTTCATCTTACAGCAGAACAAAGTCAACGCGCCATAAATTGATCTATTGGGCTCATCATCTCGACTTACCATAACATTGTTGGATAGCTGTTGCATTTCTATTTTCTTACGTGGGTCAACATAACGTAATTCGATGTAATCTGAAGCTTTCTATTCAAATTTGTCATCGATTTCTTGCTTTAAAAGATCCTCAGTCTTTGATTCGTCAACTTCAAGATACATGTGACGATAATTCAACTCATAAGTAGGACGTGCTGTACCATACTTGCCACAAAGCCAAGGAAAACTGCAAATGTGGAAAAGTGAAGATATTCGATGCCTTTTCCTCGTGGCAAATAAGTCAAAATTGACGTAAAAGCGATAAAAAAGATTTACCTTTTCAAATTTTCATGGACGCTCTGTTTAATTTTGTGATCCTTTGTGAGAAAACGTTTTTTAAATTCGACTGTGTTGGGAGTGGAAGGTTCATCTACAAAATATTACACAAAATGAATGTCACTGGACTTAGAATCTCCTAAAACACAAATATCAAATCTACCAGTTTTTGAAGATGACTTGAAACTACGAGAAGTAATTGAACTCAGAATTTTTTCTGTGCTGCCACTGGAAGGTTCATGTACAGTTTCAGAATATCAGTTTCATCTATTTCAAAAATTGTACCTGAGGTCTGTGAAGCTTTGTATAATGTGCTGAAGGAAGAATATTTAAAGCCACCCACAATAAAGCAACAATGGTTACACATTGCTGATGGATTTAAATGCAAATGCCACTTTCCCCATGCAGTTGGGGCCATTGATGGTAAACATATCAACTTACCTGCACCTTCTAACTCAACCTCTGAGTACTTGACTATAAAAAGCATTTTAGCATAGTCCTCTTGGGTATTGCAGATGCAAAACCTAAATTCATCTCATTTGATCTGGAGCCCCTGGCAGCCAGTCAGATGGAAGAATTTTTAAAGACAGTTACTTTAAAACATATACAAGACATGCAGTTTCCCACAAGCTGAAGAACTAAGAGATACATTATTGCCTATACCTTACTTTCTGCTTCGAGATGAGGCATTTGCATTAAATGAAAATCTAAGCCATATCCACACTGGACTGTAATAGGTGATGAGAAAATTTTTAACTACTGACTTTCACGAGCACAAAGAATTGTCAAAAATGCATTTGGATTGATCTGTGGTCGATTCAGATGTCTTTAGAGAACATTGGAGTTGGATGTTCCACACGCAATGCAGGTAGTGAGGGGCTGTATGGCAATGCATAACCTTTTGACAAGTCAGAAGGACCAGTTTTACATATATCCAGGATGTATGGACCTTGAAGCTGAATTAGGAAATGTTGTGAATGGTTCTTGGAGAGCACAATTAGGCAATGAAAATGAAGTATGTGACATCCAGCCAGATGCTGGTGCCCGCCCATCATCAATTCATGCAAGACAAATCAAAATGCTCTTAAAGACTATTTCTTTGAAGAAGGGCAGTTGATTTTCAATGGACAATGACAAACTAAAGAATTATAACAAAGAAATAAATTTACCTTGTTTGAATATAAAAAATATATGAAAACTTGTTTTGATGGTTGATGTTGCCCTTTATATATATATAAATCCAGTAAAGTAGACTCAAAAACAAATGTGTAAGTTATTTTGATGTAGAAGTTTAATCATTGAAACATGTTCATTTAAAATACCCTAGTTTAATAAAACGTGGTTGAAACTGATTATTTATTGATTAATCTGCTTGATTAAATGGTTGTTATTGAGCCCGTGGGGGCTCTGTGGCCTGAAAAATAGTCGATTGTATGGCAAACTTGATACGTCTTTGTATATCTTTATCTGCCAGACCACGCATTGCATGTGCCACATCTTTACCAAAAATATCCCACTGGTCTTCAGGAGCAGATGTTGCTCATTTTGCCAACTGGTTCAAGGCAGATGCTGCTGACTCAAGAAATGGACTATGTGATTGTTTTCTATTCTTTGAGCTTGAAATAAAACTACATTCACTTCCTGTATCTTCATTATCAATAATTGAATCATTTAATTGGTTTTCTCTGTCTTGTGCAAAACGTTCATCAATAGCATTTGTAAATACTTGATGATTGTGTGATATAACTTCATCCAGGAAACTGCACTGGTCAAAAAACTTCCATTTTGATACATAAACTTCACTAGCCCCACTGCCTGTACCTTGGCTTTTTCTTATTTTTCTAACTTCTTCTCTATAAAATGTTCTTAAGCTCTGTATCTTTGCTAAAAGTATAAGCCAGAAATTTTATTAGAATAAACTTATTTGAATCCAAATAATAGCATATAAAGCTACAGATGGATATGTTTTCCTTTACCAATTTTGGCATACCAACAAGCTGAGTTAGAAGTTTGAACATATTGCCATGTAAGCAGGACAAGACATTTTTTCTTTGCGATTTAATGCAAACCAGAGAGCATAAACAATGTTTATACATCGTTAAAATGCAATTCTTTCTACTCCATTAGAATCTTATCACTCACCTTTGATGCTTGGCAAATCAACGTTTGGCAGTTCAATTTTGATTGCTTGCAGTATTTCCTGGTGTGCATTCTTCATATTTCTGTTTTTGTAATGCTCACTTATGGTATTCCAAATACAATCTCTTTCTCTGACAGTATCGAGCAACAAACTCACCACTTGATCGGGCCAGTTTGTTTTATTACCCGCCATGTTTTGTTTTATGTGAAGCCTGGGATCTACTTCGCTCCTTGACATGTGCCACTTTTTATTTGACAGCCATCTACACGACCCATTTTTTGTATGAGATAATTTTTATATGTGATAAGTAGACAATAAAAAGTATTAAAAAAAGGAACTTACTCCCATCAACTTGAACAAATAATTTTGTGACTTCAACAAAAATTCGTAAAGTTATCTATCAACAAAAGTTAGTTGCCAGTTCGAAATTTATCGTTTTAGCATTCTATTGTACGAGTCAGTACGACTACGTCACAACATTGAGTTTCAGACGCAAACTAAATGGAAATGACCAATGAGAAATCGATTTATGAATTATAAATACTAGAATGATAACTAAGGTGCATTGCATTTTTTATATCAATGTAATTGATACATGTTCCTAAATGTAGATCGTCCAGGTTGGTATAGTCCTGAGAAAAACTGTTTTTGTTGTTGTTGACTGACGTTTCGACAACTCTAGCGGTAGTCATTTTAAGAGTCAAATGAAGAGTAAACGTCAAGTTAGCCGTATTTGTTATCTGGTTCTTACGTCATTGTATTGTGTGTACAGGAAATATGTATTGTCATTGTGAATTAGTGAGAAGTGAAATATTTTTATTTTTAGTTGTGATGTGTGGGTGTCAATTGTGTATTGTCATTGTGAATTAGTGTGAAGTGTAATGTTTTTAGTTGATCGTTTGTTTGTATTGTGAATAAGTCGTTTGTAAGGTGCCGGTAATTGCTGTGATCTGTTCAGGGTGGTTTTTTCCAAGTTGCTATACCAACTTTCTAATATAAGCCGTTGTTTATAGTCAATACTGTAAGTAATGCATTTTGCCTAGTCCCATTCAATGTTGTGCCTTGTGATTCGGTGTTCGGCAATGTGATTGATTTCTTGTTTTTTGTATCTCGTTTGTGTTCAGTCTAATGTTTAAGTTCCTGCCAGTTTCGATATAGGAGGCGTGGCAATCAGGCAGTTTATTTTGTACCAGTGCACCTTGTCGTTTTGGGTTGTTCTTTGTCCTTTATGTTCGTAGTTATATTATTTCCCCAATTTGGAGAAAACGAAGGGCCGACTTGACGATACCTGTCGAATCTGAAACATTAAATGTAATGTAAGCCTTAACGTTTGGAATATAACAATAGTAACATAGCATCTACCACTTCTTCCAAAATATTCACCATTCTCAAGTTTCAGTTCTTTCAAAGCTTTGTCCAATTTAAGGCAAATAAATGTCTTCGCATGTTTTGGCAAAACTAACTACATCACCCTCACTACCGTCTTCATTACTCTCACTACCATCTTCATTACTCTCACTACCATTTTCATTACTCTCACTACCATCTTCATTACTCTCACTACCATTTTTATTACTCTCACTACCATTTTTATTACTCTCACTAC